AACCCACCAGCTCAGGTGTATGTGGCTGGCGCCTTTGCCACTTGAGTTATAGGTGCTGAGCCTTTTTTTCTTTTTTTTGAGACACAGTCTCACTATGTGGCCCTCAGTAGAGTGCTATGGCGTCACAGCTCACAGCATCCTCAAACTCTTGGGCTTAAGCAGTTCTCTTGCCTCAGCCCCCCCAAGTAGCCCACCACAGTCTCACTATGTGACCCTCAGTAGAGTGCCATGGCATCACAGCTCACAGCATCCTCAAACTCTTGGGCTTAAGCAGTTCTCTTGCTAGCCCACCACAACGCCCAGCTATTTTTTGGTTGTAGTTACCATTGTTGTTTGGCAGGCCCAGGCTGGATTCGAACCCACCAGCTCCAGTTTATGTGGCCAGCGCCTTAGCCACTTAGCTACAGGTGCCGATCCAGTATGCTAATTTTCTTTCCTGAGATACCCTCACCATGATTTCTGGGCTTATGTTTTCTCAGCTCATATAGTTATCTCTCACTTTCAAAATTTACCTGCCATTTCAAAGACAAAAAAACAAATTAGTTACAACTGTACCTCTGAAATGTATTATCTCCCCTACAGGGATCTGATCCGTGAACCCTAGAAGGTTTGTTAAGAGACTACCAACATGTGCTCTCCTGCCAGTCCCAAAATCCTATACAGGAACCCAAGGTTCCTCCGGTTAGCTTTTCTTCAGCTTCATCACCAGCAGCAGAGTGGTGTGTTCTGTGATGTCCTTCTGCAGGCAGAAGGTAAGAGACTGACAGAAACTCAACTGAAAACTCAGCATAGACATGATAAAATGATTGTAGGGCCAGGGAGTGAAGCACAAAACAAGGAAAATGTTACTGCCTTTGACCACTGGGAACTATTTGATAAAAAGTTATTTGTTGGCCGGGTGCAGTGGCTCATGCCTGCAATTCTAGCACTCTGGGAGGCCAAGGCAGGTAGATTGTTGAGCTCATGGGTTTGAGACCCTCCTGAGCAAAAAATCAAGACCCCCTTCTCTACTAAAAATAGAAAAACTGAGGCAAGAGGATTGCTTGATGTCATGAGCTATGACACCATGGCACTTTACCCAGGGCAATAGCCTGAGACTCTGTCTCAAGAAATAAAACTAAAAATCAGAAAAAAAAAAAAAAAAAGCTACTTGTTTCTGGGCAGTTACTATTTAACTGTTTTCAAGAGTAAAGTTGTGTGGCGGTGCCCGTAGCTCAGTGAGTAGGGCGCTGGCCACACATACCAAGGCTGGCAGGTTTGAATCCACCCCAGGCCAGCTAAAACAACAATGACAACTGCAACAAAAAAATCGCCGGGCGTTGTGACAGGCACCTGTATTCCCAGCTACATGGGAGGCTGAGGCAAGAGAATTGCTTGAGCCCAGAAGTTTGAGGTTGCTGTGAGCTGTGATGCCACAGCACTCTACCCAGGGAAAAAAGTGAAATTACGATTATGCATCTTTCTTTTGAAAAATGAAATTGGAGGGCCAGACATGGTGCCTTATGCCTTTAATCCCAGCATCCGGGAAGGGTGAGGTGGGTGGATTGTCTGAGCTCAGGAGTCTGAGACCAGCCTGAGTAAGAGCAAGACCCTGTCTCTAAAAAACAAACAAACAAAAAAAGGTGGGCATTGTGGCAGGTACCTGTAGTCCCAGTTACTTGGGAGACTGAGGCAGGAGGATCGGAAGATCTCTTGAGCCCCAGAGTTTGAGGTTGCTATGAGCTAAAGATGCCAGGGCACTCTACCAAGGGTGACCACGTGAGACTCTCTGAAAAAAAAAATGAAATTAGGGCTGGATGTGGTGGCTCACACCTGTAATCCTAGCACTCTGGGAGGCCAAGGCGGTTAGATTGCTTCAGCTTAGGAGTTTAAGACAGCCTACCCTGTCTCTACCTAAAATAGAAAAATTAGTTGGGCATTGTGGCAGACACCCATAGAGCCAGGTACTCAGGGAAGCTGAGGCAGGAAGATCACCTGAACCCAGGAGTTTGAGGTTGTTGTGAGCAAGGATAACCCTTGAGCACTCTACCTTGGGGCAAGAGAGTAAGACTCTGTCTCCAAAAAAATAAAAGAGTAAACATAAAAAATGAAATTAATTGTAAAAGTTTGTAAGCATAGGGTGGCACCCGTGGCTCAGTGGGTAGGGTGCCTGCCCCATATACCGAGGGTGGCAGGTTCAAACCCAGCCCTGACCAAACTGCAACAACAACAAAAAAATAGCTAGGCATTGTGGCGGGTGCCTGTACTCGGGAGACAAAAGAATTGCCTAAGCCCAGGAGTTGGAGGTTGCTGCAAGCTGTGACGCCATGGTACTCTACCAAGGGTGATAGAGTGAGACTGTCTCTGCCAAAAAAAAAAAAAAAAAATTGTAAGCATAGAAATTTTATAAAACATGGATAATCCAATGGGATAATTATGAAGATTGACCTAACATATGTTAAACAGTTAGAAGGATGCTTTTAATATACTAACCATAGGCTCGGTGCCCATAGGTCAGTGGTTAGCACCAGACACATACACTGGGGCTGGTGGGTTCAAACCCATCCTGGGCCTGCTAAACAACAATGACAACTGCAACAAAAAAATAGCTGGACATTGTGGTGGGTGCCTATAGCCCCAGCTACTTGGGAAGCTGAGGCAAGAGAATTGCTTAAGCCTATGAGTTTGAGGTTGCTGTGAGCTGTGACGCCATGGCACTCTACCGGGGTGACATAGTGAGACTTTGTCTCCAAAAAATAAAAAAAATAGAAAAGATGTATATATTAACCATAATGTGTTAGATCAGTGGTTCTCAACCTTCCTAATGCTGTGAACCTTTAATACAGTTCCTGTGGGTCGAGACCCACAGTTTGAGAACCACTGTGTTAGATAATACTATTAAATATTCTCCCAATTTCTTGGGAGAATATTTTCTCCCAACCTATTGCTTGATTTTTAAAAATCTCATATTGATCATTTTTGTTGTTTGCTATTAGAGCTAAAAATATGTAGCTTATTTCCACTCCTTCTCTTCACATTGGTAATGTTAAATCAGCATGAAGTAGTAAAGTAAAAAGCCCAAGATTAGGAGTCAGAGGCTCAGAGTTTCTAGCTTTGTTACTCAGCAACTGTCAAATGAGCAACTAACTTCATCTCTCTGGGGCTCAGTTTCTTCATTTATAAAAAATGATTATGACAGCCGACATTGTGTAGCATGCTATAGTTTCCAAGAGTACATACATGCATATCGTATAGCATCTTACTAGATTATAACAGCCTTGCAAGATAAGTAATGGTTTTATCATTACAATTCTACAGATGAGTGAATTGAGGCCTAAGGGAAAGTGACTTGCCTGTTGGCTCTCTTAGTAAGTGAGGAGCTGAGATTGATTCTTTAATTCAAACTAAAGTATCAGTTGCCTTTTGTATGGCAAATACTGAGCTATCTTAGGCATACAGTATTAATTAAGATAAAGTCCTTCCTCTTAAGGAAATCTTGTAAGGGGAAGACATTCAAATGTCCAGTGCCTTCTTGGAAGGAAACCTTGGAAAGACATTCAAAAGTCTAGTACATTCAGTATATTAAAAATATAATTCGGGGCCCGAGTGCAATGGATTGCTTGAGCTCAGGAGTTTGAGAGCAGCCTGAGCAAGAGTAAGACCCTGTCTCTATCTAAAACAGAAAAATTAGCTAGGCATTGTGGCAGGTGCCTATAATCTCAGATACTTGGGAAGCTGAGGCAAGAGGCCTGCTTGAGCCCAGGAGTTTTGAGATTGCTGAGTTATGATGCCATGGCACTCTACCCAGGACAGTGGAATGAGACTCTTTCAAAAAAAAAAAAAAATATATATATATATATAATGTGTATGTATACACACACACATATAAAAAATTGGTTAAGTGTAGGCTGACTTAACATAAAAGAAGAATATACTGTAGATTTGAAGATGCTGGAGGACAAGGTTTAGGGAACTTTTCTTGGAGAAAATAACCCCTTTGGTAAGGTCTGAGAACAAAAAAAAGTAGGAGGAAGCAAGGAAAGATTTTTCCAGACAAAGAGAACAGAAAGGTGCAGAGGTTCAGAAATGTGACTAAGGTTTTGTAAATTGTTCAGTATGGCTAGAGCACAGAGTCTGTAAGAGGTATATTGATAGCAATCATGTTAGGTATGAAGTGTCATGTAAAGAAAGTAGGTCTTGGCTCGGCGCCTGTGGCTCAAGTGGCTAAGGTGCCAGCCACATACACCTAAGGTGGCGGGTTCGAATCCAGCCTGGACCTGCCAAACAACAATGATGGCTGCAACCAAAAAATAGCTTGGCATTGTGGCGGGCGCCTGTGGTCCCAGCTACTTGGGAGGCAGAGG